TTGGATTCAAAGCAGTCCTATGGTGATCGTGGCGATTGAGGGGAAGAGAAAAACGTTATTATTCTTTGTTCTATAATGTATTCAAAAAATTAAATCATTGCCTACCCTCCACGATGTGAATAAGAGGTCCCACGTCAAGATGCCGTTTTAATTTATTAATTACCACGATTAACTCATTGAATCTTTCGGCATTCAGTCGACGCGGATTTGCCTATGATTTTCGCCGCAGCAACTAGCTATGAACCATAAAACTGCGATGCTCCAGTAGCCGGAGCAGAAACCCATGACATAAGCAGGTATGATGTTCAAGCCTTACGTAGCTTTAGACGAAAACGAAAGCAATAGCAGCCAGGTTAAAAAGCGGGTTCTTTGAGCAAAGAATGTACACCATATCTGCTCTAACTGTGCATCGATACAATCTGGCGTACGAAGACAGTATTGACAATCCAGAAATAAGCATTAGAAAAGAGAAAATGATGGTTGTCTATTAGCTACTGCAACACAGCAACAATACAGTAATGATCAAGCACGACTGACCAAGAACTGCTAGCTGTTGTGAAATGCTGAGCTATCAACCTTGCACATACTTAATCTCTAGGGGCTTCATGGATATACCAGAGCACTGGTGAAACGAGCATGCAATCACTTCTTAGTACTTGACGTTCAAGTCAAAATCAGAACCCAAGCAAGCAACAAGAGTCCGTCAGCAGGGAAAAACCAATATGCTTAGTGAAACTAAGTTTATCCTTGAAATAGGAGGAAGCACCCCACAATACAAACAGAATTTCGTAGCCAGCACTGAAGGCTATTGGAAAACACTTAAAAGTCGCTATTTTAAATGAGGGTGATAAAATCCCTTTTATCGATAAAGCTTCGACAAGGCGACAGCTGACGATGCATAAAATATCTTACGAAGGGATTTTTTAAGGTTCCACAGTAATATGCACTCTGTAATGAATATAATACAGTAATAATTTTTTCGAAATGTTACCCTGCCAGTGGGAAAATGTGCTTAAAATTCAGTCAGTTTCGATTACTGCCGATCGTTTCAGGTCGCAGAGGCAGACCAGTGTTTCCAGCTTTTCCGATCCTGCGCCAGCGCTTTAGTAATCCCAGTCTGAAGCATAGTCTGTCGAGACACTTGCCTCACGCGATCGGGAAGTTTTCGATCGGTCGGCTTGGCAAGTACTACCTGTTCAGCCCTTCTTTCTGGAAGCATTCGCAAGACTTGCCCAAGCCATCGCAGCTGAACTTCTTAATTCTTCTTCTTCTTCTTAACACTAAGGCTCTCTCGGATATCTGAACCCCGGACTATGTCGAGGTGCGTGAGTCCAGCGATTCGATTTATAAAGTCCATTTGTGTTTAAAGTTCTCGAAACCAAAAGAATACATAACTATGTCAGCATTAAACATCTAGTGTTCTGTTTTTACCCTTATTTTTAACATGTCTTGCTGAAATGGAAAAGGGTACGCGAATGAAAAATGCAGCAAGACATTGATGAAGTACTAACAAATTAAAATGTTTGCATTTTACATATCATATTACGGGTCTACTGCGTGGACGGTTATATGTTTTTCCTTCGCTCCCAGACAGAACTGCCGTCACCCAGAACAGTTTTCTGTCGTTTCTGAGAGAACTGATTTATTTCTGATTCGACCCTCATTTTTTCTGCTTCCTAGTAGGTTCGTTTTTCGAGTCGTAAAGACATTGAATTTCAACCACCAATTGATTGCTTGCGAAGATCGTTCACGTTACAGATGACACTGAGAGTGCCCAGAATGAAAATATGCTCTTCACCCTTTCTTGCCGCTTATTGCTTATGCCTCTTTTGCACTGTTAGGGGATTATACTCGTTATGGTAAATATCGATGCTGTCCATGCTTCAAAGCGTCGACTGTACGGCGTACAATTCTGAATAACGTTTATCACCATATTTCGCTGGTCTGAGGTTGCAAAGGATGTACATTAGTTCTTACTCTTTCCATGTGACATCCATTCAGCACCTTTTAGATCTTTTTCTGAATCTTCTCATACTCTGTTTCTTACGCAGAACCGCTTCATAGTCATAAGTGGATGGACCATTTTCTAGTTTCCATTGCTACATCAATCAGCCGTTTCGTGATTCCTGACATGCATGTGCTGCAACTGCGATCGATAGAAAAATGCTGATAAACTGCAAGGTAATTCACTCTGGCATCTGGTCCTCTGCGGTCTATCATGCATTATATGAAAATGGATTGATAAAAAGCGGGTTCGTCGACAGAATGTTTTGCTCTTGGTCAGATTTATTTTAGAGAAATAGAAACCACTGATAATTTTTGCATCGTCATTGTCGGCTGACACCGTCAGGATTTATGACATAAACAATGACAGATATACTGTCGTTAGTGTTATTCAAAATCTCACGTCTTTGACCCTGTTCGTTTAAAGGATCGGCAGCGATCCAAGTATGGGCGGCACTAAAGAGCGAAATAAAGCGCAGTATGTACTTTACACTGGGCCTAAAATAGCAGAGAGGATTCGCTGAGAAGTCAGAACTCGCTATTCAAAAATATGTTGGTGAAAAACTGCGAGAAAGTTTAGAGTTGTGCATGTCTCGGATAAAAGCAGTTACTGACTAGCTTTGACTTATTTGATTTCAGATTTAATCTGCGGCATGACTTTAATGGCGATTCGAAACAAAAGGCTTCGCCTACCGGTAGTAGCTGCATTGCCCTTATGGGTTCCTGACGATGAAGTTTGTAGATAGCTATTACGTTCCGCTCGATAAAACCCTTGTCGTTCAACCAATGTACAGTCTTCTGTATCTTGCCATCATCTGTGAAAGATTGTTTGTCAATGAAAAACGAGGCGACAGCCTCATCATCGTTGTCCAGCCTACCTGACGCGGTAAACACGGCGTAATAGAGTTCTTCGTTGATGACCACCTTGTCGACGAGAATGCGCGTGAAAATTACGCCCTGCTTGTAAATAAGAGGTCCGTCCAAAATTGAGATGCTAGGTACCGCATGGTGCATCAACGAGTGAGACTTGATAAAGTGTAGGGCGGTGTCTGAGATCATCTGCGTATTTTCCACACACTAAAACAGTGCACGAATCAGCATTCTAAACGACATACGAAGTCTCGACGAAAAACTTACTTGACCAGGTCTAGGCGAAGGCACTTCAGATTCTTCGACAGGCAGCCACGCATGACTCGAAGAGATTTGTCCTTTGAACGGACTTTGGTCGAATACGTAATTGATATCCGTCAGCGAGAAAAGACATACAGCACTACCATAAAAGCCGTTCAAGCTGGTGGTGAAAATCGCATAGAACATTATCTCGTCATTGTAGCCGTTTACTTTCTGTACGTGTTCTGAAAGAGATGTTCAACAACGGGTCCTAAGAACTACAGGCAACCTTACGTATTTCATCGAAATAAAAAGGGAATTCGCCTTGAATAGAGCAGTTCAAACGAGCTTTAAGAAATGTGGTCCATATTTTAGCAAGAAAGTTTCGACCGCCAATGTCGTTCTAAAATTTAAGACCGCTCATTAACAGCGCAGGACGAACCACAGTTAAACAGAACCGTGTTCGTTTAGTTTTCAAGTAGTTCGACAGACAATTGAACAACAAAATTTGCGGAAGGCACAAAATAGCATCGATAAAACAATTTTGCTACATTGAATGCAAAGTTTAGTTTCATTATTTCAGAAAATTAAGTAAAATTTGTAATCAACGTTTGTTTAATATAGCTCTCAATTAAACGTAATTCTTTCCGTTTATCTGATCCCTTAGCCTTGAACTACACAATAAAAATTTACTGTAAAGCATTCAGGAAAATTTTACTTCTGTATCACAGGATTTAACTAATTGGACAGTAATGCAACGAACAATTTAAAATATAATCCTTTTTATTTTTCGATATTGAATTGAGGCGGCGTAAGCACCATCCCATTGCTTCTAGTGGCCGAAAGGACCATTTAAGCAGGTCGCGGCGCAATGGTAATTGAGCACCTGCAGTGCATGGATGCTGAACCGCATCACTTGGCAGGGCCGAAGAAGGGCCTATTGGAGTACTTGCAAATATGCCACGATCTGTAGGAATATTTATAAGCAAAAACCGAGCCCGATCTTATGGATTTACTAGCATACTGCCAGTTATCGATAAGCCGTTTCAATGCGGTATCGGAAACTAAAAAGAATTAAATATCTCAGCGGTGGTATCGATAACTAGCAGTATGCCAGTAAACCGATAAGATCGGGTTCTATTTTTGTTTATGAATTTAAAATATAATTATGATTGATTACTTAATTTTTGAAATTCATTCATTTTCATAGTCTACTCTTTCTTTCGAATTATTGTAGCAGCATCTTCGGTAGATTATCCACTGGTTTCAGTCTTACGCCAGTTCAACAAGCTCTGCAGATTGCATTTGTAGACACAGCACTGACAGATGTTCAATATATCTGAGCCATCTGTTCACAGGTTTCCAGTCTATTGGATATCTTTTGTGTAGCTTTGCCACCTGTTGCCGCTTCATTTCATTCGGATGTCACTTTGAAAAGGTGAATGGCCTTACATTTTTCCATAATCCTATAGACACCCTTTCTTGGAATTCCGAAACGTGCACTTGGCAAGATCACTCATGTCCGAATAGTGAAGAATAGACAATGACAAAGAACATTCAAGTTCAATCGTCCGATGGTTACGTCATTTTTTGAATTTAAAAGTTTTATAGTTTGGCCACCTGCCCTATCTTTGAGCACAAAGTCATAGAGTCCGCTGTCAACTTAACAAAAATAAGGAATTGTGAAGTTGCTTGAAAAAAACAGAAGCGCACCTTTTCAAAGTTGCCTAACTTCATCATTCCGGTTACATTGGTGAATTGATATCTACTTTAAAATAAGCTAAATCATCAAGAATGAATGGAATAACTGTCAGGCAGCGAAAATGCATGGTTTACTGATATCCTAGCACTCATATCAGTTTGAAAGTAAACAGTTTGGTCTGCTTCACTTGATAAGCAGTTGTCACTAAAGTATGAGGACTTTTCAGTGACCGTGGTTAACTCGTTGGTAGTGGCGCCCCTGCGTTCGCATCACTGCAGGTCATGCGTAGCGTGAGTAGCAATTGTGGCTCATTACAGTCGCTAATGTGCTCTTCTTGTTTCATTAGGCAGATTACAACCATCAGATTGGAGCAAACTGACGAACTTTATGGATCTTTTAACTTACAACAAATGAACCAACCGCTCTATTTGAAGTCGTTTAAAAACGGCATCAGATACGCTTTAAAAAATCGGGCTACAATTTTCTCATAAGAATCTATACGATTCATTGGAGAGAAATAGAGTTCTGATTATAATTAAAGAAATCCACTTCTAGCGAACGCACCGAAGAAAACGTCTGTGCTCGTTTCGATTACCTACGGAGGAACGACTTATATGAGCATAATGAAGGCTTTCTAGTAGTACTCGAAAACTAAACAAACATTTCAACGTCTCTGCGATATCACTCGCATTAAAATTCCCATTACAGTCA